GTTGGAGGGTGGGGATAGGAAGTCACAGAAAATTCCAGAGGCAGTGACATTTGAGTTGGCCTTGAAGAATAAACAGACACTTGCATATCAGAGAACTGGGGAAGAACACTTATTCATTTAATAAATATGTATTGAGAATTTAACTTTGTGCCAAGTATAGTTCTAGGTAGTTGGGGACACAGGAGCAAATAAGACAAAGTCCCAGCCTTGGAGGAGCTGACATTGTAGTGACGTCATAGGCAAATGAACCACAGCATAAAAGGCGTGTTCAGGGAAGCGCAAGTTCAGTGTGGCTTGATGGTGGAATGCATAGGATGTTGGTGGAAAGTAAAGCTAGATAGGTAGGAGGAGGACAGAATGAAGAGCGAATTATGCCATGCTAAGAAGTTTAGATATAGACTCCTCTGTAAGCCATTGGCTTTTAAACATTTTAGAGCCGTGGAACTCTTTCTGCCAAAGAAATCTTGCAAGGTCATTCAATATAAAAAGCAATAAAAGTAGAGCTCCTTGATTTAAGCAGGGATGGGAAGGCAGGGGGAACAGAGGGGAAACTCCTAGCTCTGTCCTCTCACCTCACTCTCAGCTCTCCACAACAGCTCTGAGAAACCTAAAGGACCACTATGGGTTTAAAGCCCACTGCTGAAGGTAATGGAGGGCACACAAATATGGGAAAATGGAGAGATGTGATCAGATTTGGTGCCTGGGGCTAAAATTGGCGGGAGGGATGGGGTAGAATGGCCTATTAGCAGAGAAACCAGTTGGGTGGGTTATGGAAGAGATGCTGAGGAATAAATTCTTTATCTTAGCAGTTGTAACATGGGGAAATGATCTATTTTTGCATTATCTTCTCTACTAGAATATATCAGGGACTGGCACTTAGAGGGTGCTCAATAAATGCTTCTCAAATGGTGAATATAGAGTCCTTTGATCTCTCAGCTGGTAGACTGCAGGACTGTAGACATACTCAAATGGTGAATATAGTGTCTGCTGCTTTACCATCTAGCCCTTCTGCTGCTCTGACTGAGCAGTGCCTGGGGCCTGCCCCACCACCACATCCATGTGGAATATGAAAGCGTCAGCTGCCTGGAGGCTCCTGTTACAGCCCCAGCAGTGCTGCCATCTTGGTAAATGTTTCCCACCATGACCTGACTATCCACGTTGCTTCTCCTGAAATTCCAACCTCCTGAGGGCCATCCATACTGAGGAGTGATCCTTTGCTGGCCTGCTCTAGGGAAAGCACTGGGAAGCGCTTGCTCCAAGGGCCTTTCTCTTGTGAACTCGCTGGGGGCTATTTTGCCCACCAAATAGCTGGGAGAGGAACCACAGAGCCCACACTGGGAATTGTCCCTTTGGCTCTGGCTGTATTAAATACTTTATGAAATTAAATACTTTAGTTCCATTCAGCCTTTCTGAACATCTGTAGTTGCAACACGGCCCAGAGGTTACAGGAAAGTCCCTCTTCCGAGACCATAGACGGTCTAAGAATGAAATTCTAGAGCAGTCACCGAGCAGAATAAGTATCAAGGGAAGAAAAGAGGAAGAGAAAAAGGCATTCCAAGTTGTAGGAACAAAGGCATGGGAATGCTGCCTCCATGCACGTACTGTAATTGGCTGCCCATTAGGTCTTACGAGGGTGGCAGTGGGAATGGCCCCCCTTCCCCCCACCTCTGTCCATTCTTCAGTGTTAACTCAGTGGTCTCTTTTCACAAGGTCCTGACATGTCCCAAAGTGAGATATCAGATCCATTTGCCTCTTGGGTGACCACCAATGTTATCTCCTTCAATCCAAAGTGCTCCAGCATCTTTTCTGATTAATCAGGTGCTACCAATCAACCTCCTTTTCTCTGAGTCGCCACAACATTTGCTATTCAGTTTGAACACTGTTTCCTTGCATGTAATAACAGACCAGAGGTAATAACAGAGAGATAATAGCTACCAACAAGAACTCATATATAGTGGTTAAGTGCCTGGATTGTGGATTTTAGAGCCAGCTCAGAACTATGTTTGAATCCCAGTATCATAATGGTGAGAGTGGACGAGTAACTGAATCTCTCTGCCTTGATTTCTAAAATAGAGGTGAAAATAGTATCTATCTCATATGCGTTGTGAGGATTAAATGAGCTAATACGTGTAGTAAATGCTTAATAAGTGTTAGCTATTCTCTGCCTACTGTCTAGGAAATATTCCTTAATCCCTACCATGCCTTAGATATCTCTATTTTCCCCCAACACCTTGAGGATATTTTATCATAGCAGTTAACTTGTGTTGACATTATCTGTGTATCATTCTCTCCCACTACCCTCAAAGATCATTCGCTTGTTCACATATATTTGTTGAGCAGGTTATAACAATGATTAAGAAAAATACAATATGTACCCAAAATAATTGAAAACAAGTACTTAAACATATGTACATGCATGTTCATAGCAGCACTACTCACAATAACCAAAAGGTGGAAACAGTCCAAATGTCCATCAAGGGATAAATGGATAAATATAAATTGTGACATATACATACACTGGAATAAAAAGCCATAAAAAGAAATGAATTACTGATTCATGCTACAACGTGGATGAATCTAAAAAACATTATGCTAAGTGAAAAAAGCCATACATAAAAACCACATATTATAAGAGTCCATTTAAATGAAATAATCAGAATAGGTAAATCCATAAAGACAGAATGCAGATTGGTGGTTACCAGGGGCCAGGAGGAGGGGGGAATGGGAAGCAACTGCTTAATGGGTATGGGACTTTCTTTTGGAGTGATAAAAATGTTTTGGAATTAGAGGTGGTAGTTGCACAACACTGTGAATGTAGTAAATGCCACTGAATTGTTCACTTTAAAATGGTTAATTTTATGTTATGTGACTCTCACCTCAATAAAAAATAAAAAGAGAAAAAGACACTTTCTGCCTTCATAGAGTTTATCAGACAGTAAACCAGTGCATACATAAACAAATAATTACATATTGTGATAATCACTTGGTGGGAAGTAAACTAAGGGGAGACAGTGGAAAAGTTAAGGAAGAGCTGGGGGCAAAGAGGCTCTGAGGTGGGAAGGGGTTTAGCAGTTTGAGAAATTGTCAGGAGAACCTCTGGACTGACTCTCAGAGAACCAAAGGCAGTGATTTCTTTTTTTTTTTTTGCTGAGGAAGATTTGCCCTGAGCCACCATCTGTGCCAATCTGCCTCTATTTTGTAGGTGGGTTGCTGCCACAGGATGGCTGACAAGTAGTGTAGGTCAATGCCCAGAAGCCGGGCCTGTGAACCTGGGCTGCTGAAGCGGAGCTCACAGAAATTAACCCCTACATCATGGGGCTGGCCCAAGGCGGTGATTTAAAATGAGCCCAAGGAGGTAAGCCGGAGTCAGGCCCTGCAGAACCTTACATCTCATGAGAGGAAGTATGATGTTCAATCTAAGCAATGAGGAGCTGGGAAGCATTTTAAGCAACAAATTAATAGACTTAAATTACATTTAACTGTTTTATCCATTTTTAAATGCACCTATTAGCTTGCCTCTTTTCTAGAGTAAATCTACAGGGAGAATTGTATCAGAATTACCTGGGAGGCTTATTTTTAAAATACAACACTGGGAGCCATTGGACTGTGTGTGTGTGTAGGGATGTGGCTGGCAGGGAAATTTTGGAAGCCCCCAGGGGATTCGCCCATACTACTTTCTCTAGCACTACTGTTGCTCTAGGAGCTGGAAAAGGTCGAAATGGACATTAACTGCTTTATCATGAATTCTTTACCCACCTTACAGAGGTGGGGAGGGGCCCTAGTTCAATGACTATAACAATTCCAGTGGCCTGTTCTCAGACTGACAACCCATTTTTAGGGAGAAAGGGGAGAGGGATCTCTGAGAAGACGGAGAGGCAGGAAAGCAGCAGCAACAGGGTTTATCACTGGAGGAAAGATAGCAGGAAGTATAGATGAGCAGAACTAATTTCTAAAAACGGTTGGAGGACTGTACTATAAGCTGGATCTGGGGTGCTATGGTGCAAGAATGAAATGGAAATGAGAACATAGGCAGGGGATTTATATAGTGGAAAAGTCTCTATCTTGCCTACTCAAAAGTATTGTCTGAGTAGCGACAGCATTGCTGGGGAGCTTGTTAGAAATGCAAAATCTTGAGCCTTACCCCAGACCCCAGGCCTCCTGAATCATAATCTGCATTTTTAATAAGAGCCCCAGATGTTTGTTATGCTCATTAAATTTTAAGAAGCACTGGTCTATATCATGAGAAAACTCCAGACCCCTGGCATAGCTAAAGCACTTTATTTTGAATACCTTCTGATACAGGACAGTGGTTTCCGGAAAGGTATTAAATTTTTGAAAATTAAGTGCTATAAATCCTGGAGAAAGACCTTATTTAATTGCAGGGAGGTTTCTCATCATGCAAAAATTCCTTCGCCTAGAAACATTTCCTGTGGAGTCAAATCCTAGGCTTCCTTAAAGTGAGGCACAGCCACTTTTAAAATATGCGATAAGAACTCGGCTCTTGGCCAAGTCAACCGTTCACACAGCTGGATCGGGTCTGGAGCAGCCCATATGCCTTGGCAGGTCAGAGCCACCAAGACGGGTTTTTAAAGCAAGTCAAGTCGGTGGCTGTTCTGCCCCCCGAGAGCAGCTCTGAGTTGAATCTTTAATGTTAAAAATGTAGAAAGCAGACTTGACAAAACTATTTTCAAGAAGCGTGGCCGGGTAACTTGGCGAGTTGCCTACGCCGAGTAGAGAGCAGCAACTACCTACCGTACGCACTGTCGAAGCCCTAAGTGACCTTCGACCTCTGGCCCCGCGCCTTGCTCGGCGTCTCCCTGCGCAGCTTCCGCCCCCGCCCCTCCCGCGAAGGGTTGGGCCGAAGGGTGTGGGCGGGGCTCTGGGGCCGACGGTTAGGGACGGTGCCTGTTAGGGGCGGGTCTCGCGAGGGGCGGGATTTGAGGAGGCACCCTAGCATTGGGCTGCTGGGTATAGGCGAGGCCTAGCGCTGGGCTGGGTTGGGCGGGGCAGGGAGTTAGTTGCCGCCTCTGGGTAACTGGACTCAGGCGGCCAAACCTCCGGAGGCCGGGGGCGGCAAGCGGGCCCGTAGCAGATCCCGGATCCGGAATTTCCCGGGCAGGACCGGAATCGGGATCAGCCCTGCCCCAAACCGGGTCTGTGAGGAACTCGTGAACTTGGATTAGGAAATCCCGGAACTCGGATCAACAAACCGCAGAACCCGGAATTTAGATCGGAAAGTCCCGGAGCACGGATCTCGGAGCGGACTCGGCGCGGAGCCCGGAGTCCGGATCGCGACACCGCCGGACGGGACGGAGCGATGTCGGGCCGTGGCGCGGGCGGGTTCCCGCTGCCCCCGCTGAGCCCTGGCGGCGGCGCGGTTGCCGCGGCCCTGGGAGCGCCGCCTCCGCCAGCGGGACCCGGCATGCTGCCCGGACCGGCGCTCAGGGGGCCAGGGCCGGCTGGAGGCGTAGGGGGCCCCGGAGCCGCCGCCTTCCGCCCCATGGGCCCCGCGGGCCCCGCGGCGCAGTACCAGGTGAGGAGGGCGGACGGGTGGGTGGCGCCGCGAGCACGCCGGGTGCAGGAGGTGGAGGGGCGTCGAGTGAGGGCCCTGGGGCAGCCTCTTGGAGAGAGGGCACAGGGGCCCTGCATGCGGAGCAGGACACGGTGGAGGGCAAGGCCAGGGATCCTCAGGCTCGGCTAGGTGGTGGTGGTGGAGGAGTTGGGAGAGAGAAGGTAAGAGCGACTCTGGGTGGAGTGTTTGAAGCAGTTGGGAGGGTCTGGGGGCTTCCGTGGAACAGGGATTCTGAGTAACTGAGAGATGGAGGAGTTGTGGGAGCTAGTGAGTTGTGGGCGGCTGGGTTGAAAGTCTAGTGTATAGATCCTAGGGTAGAGGGTCCTGGGAAGTGATGAGAAAGTTTTGGAAAAGGGCCCTCACTGAGGAACCAGGGTTACCCTGCATTGGCCTTGGTCCCACTCCAAGTCTGCTCTGGTTTTTTTCTAGTTGGGAACTGGCAGAGTTCTAGCGTGTCTGAGATGGTTCCCAGCTGCTGATGAGGAAGAAGAAGGGCCTGGCTTCCCACGGGCATGGGAGACTGAGGATAGGGCAAGGGGACTCCAGCTGGTGCAGGGGAGAGTCTACTCCTGGATCAGGCCCAGGAACCCTCACCCCAGATGACTCTGGGTTAGACCAGAGACAGTAGCGGCCATCCCTAAGGAAGGAGGAAAGCCCAGCCCATTCTGGGCAGACTCTCTTTTTGGCTTTCTGCCTAGTGTCATAGTGTCCAGGAGTTGATTAGTCTGGAGGAGCAGAGAGGCTCCACGGAGCCCTGCTGGTCTGGGGCTGGAGGAGCCTGCGGGAGTTGCTTCAAAGGGTTCTGTCCTGACCCCTTTGGGGTTTGGCTTCGAAGAGAGCTTCTCAGGTTGCAGCTTCAAAGATCATTGAGAGGTAGAGACTCTGTCCTTAGGGTCAGTGTGTGAGGAACTCAGCCTGACCCTGCTGGTGGGGCTCATCAGTCCCCCAGTCCCTTGTTTCTGGTTGCCCCAGAATACTTGGGAATTGTACCCATTCTTTCTCCTTCCCGCTCTCCACTTTTATTTAGCTTTGAGATTCTGATATTGCCATATTGCAACCCATGTGCCCCAGCATTTGGCACTGACTTCTACCAAGTTTGAAAGAAGGAAGCTGGGGCTTCCTCTCTTCCCTCCTCATGTCTCCAGGTAGAGGTCCCAGAAGTGGATTCCTAGAGTAGGGTATGCATGGGCCCCAGGACCCCTGGGCCCTCACTTTCTAAAGAGATGTTTAACTAGGAACAGTGATTTTTCCCTCTTACTTCTCATTCCCCCTCCTCCCTAGAAAGAAAACAAAAGGTCTAGGTATTGACAGAGACAGGCCTGTCCCAAGGACTCCAGCTGGGGTCCATTTTTCCCATCTTGCTCTTCCCCTTGGGGATTCATGGGCCCAAGGTGTCGCTGAGGGATCCCTGCATTGGTCATTCCAGTCTTTGGGCCAGCTAACTGAGACCTGGCCCGGGAGCCTCCCTGTGCGCCTTTGGCCTGGGAAGGATCTAGGGAACAGATAGGAGCCTCTCCAGTTTCCTCAGCTTGCAACCCGTGGGAAATGTGCCATAGGGAAAGCTGCTGAGAGACTGGATTCCATAGCCCTTTGTAGGGAGTGGCCTTGGGCCGGTGGCAAGGCTGAGCTGGCTGCCTGGGTAGCCCTGGGCTCCTAGGGGTGGGGAAAGTGGTGAAGGCAGTGAGCCTCTGCTTCCCTGGGCTTCCCATCCCACCAGCTTCTCATCGCCTTCTCCTCCTCCTCTTCTAGGGAGGGCAATAGAGGTAGATGGGGAAAGGGAGGACCCAGTTCACTTTGGTTGAGTTCGAGGAGGATCCTGCTTGGCTTCTTTCCAAGTCCAGTTGTGTGACTTCCAGGAGAAGGGACTTGAGATCTGAAGAGCAAAGGGGTTTCTGTCTATTAGGGCACATGAGATGAGCTGGGAGAGCAAGGATTTCAGGGCCCAAGTTGGGCAGATAGGGGAGCCTATTGAACGAAGGGAAGTGATGACCCTTCTCCCTCTAGACAGTGGTTCCAGCTCTGGATCACAGTCAACTAAGGAGCTTAAAAAAAACAAAAACAAAACAAAACGACCCAGATTGCTGGGTTCGCTCCAGAGAGTTCAAAATATTTTCTTATGGAGGAGTATGTTCTCCTCTGCTAGACTCTGAGGGCCAGCCACCAGGAGCACCAGGGCCACAGCTTTGAGGCAGGGCAAGCATGCTCTCTGGAGGTGGCAGCATCAGGCCCAGCCTCCTGCCTTTGCTCTCCTGGGTGGTGGAGATAGAGTCCAGCTTAGGATGTGGGCTAGTGCTGGGCTAAGGGAGAGGAGGTTGTCGCACACTTCTAGGGTTCAGGGCACCGAGCCAGGTTAACCTGCTGTGCTGCAGGTGGGGAGTTAGGGAGCCTGAGAATTCTGGGCTGTGTTCTTTTTTTTCCTTATAACTCTTGGGTTGTTTTTTGGAAGAGGAGGAGGAACTGGTACTTCAAAGCCCAGGTGTGGAGCTTGGCAAGGCCAAGCTGGGACTAAAGGAACTGTAAGCAGCCTTCCCCTGGGCTCCTTCCCGCTCTGGGGAGAAGCCTGGGGCCCTGGGTGAGCTGGGGGCTCTACGCCTGGGAAGTCGGAAGCAGATGTTTGGGAGGGGCCTATTCCAGGCCCTGCTTGTGCTGCCTTGTCTTGGGAGTTTCTGTACCGGAGCGCCTGCCTAGGAGGCATGGGCGGTGCTGAGGAGGTTTTGTGAACACCCTAGTGAGTAGCTTCATGGAGACCACAGGGCCCTAGCTCACACTCTGCAGGTCCCACTGCTTCAGCTGTTCCAACCCTTTGGCTCAGGCTTTGGGTGGGAAAAACTCCCAGTCTAGGATGTCTGGGGCCTGGGTTTACAGCTGTGGCCACACTGACTTGTTTTCTGTAATCTCTGGCCATAGCTCATTAGGGTAGAGAAACAGGCTGTCTTTTGCCTTTCAACAGCATGGATGAATCTCTTCCTGATGAGGAGAGACTTGTGGCAGGACTCCTGAGGTCCCGGAGCCCCCCATGTGTAACTCTCTATTCTCCCAGATGCTTCCCTCCCACCCTCCTCCTTTCCCCTTCCCTATGTCTCTGGGTCATGTTTCTCTCCATCTCTGCATCTGGTCAAGAATCTGACCCTCTGTGGTGAGAACATGGGTTTAGTGCTAGATGATGCTGGGGCGGGGGAGGGGGTCCTTTCATTTGGTGCGAGTCCCCACCCAGCCTGGCTTGGTTGGCTAGTTATGCTAGTTGCATAATCTGGGCCCTAGGGCCAGCCCTGTGAAGCTGCCAGGGACAGTGTGTGCGAGGCAGAGCTGCCAAACAGGCCTTGCAGGCAGCAACCATGGGGAAGGGGGGCAGAGGGCGGAGGTTACTTCTGGATGGGCTCAGCAGAAATGTTGGGGAGCTGGACCTCAGTGGGAAATTCTTCTGCAGGCTTCTAAAGAAGCTATCTCCGTCACCCACATTCCTCTGCTGACCCTATGACTCTGATCCTTGCATCCCAGGATAATCTTATCTCCATTTTCCAGCTTGGGATTGCGAGGGCTACGTTGAGCCTGAGCCAGCCCTAGCTGCCAGGTGGTGTGTGGACCACAGACAGAGTCCAGGTGCTAGCTGCTCTCTTTCCCGTTGGCCACCCAGGAGCCACAGCTCCCTTTTGGGGTCTTCTGGTGTAGGGGTAGGGTCCAGTTCTGGGTTATGATAGGGCCGTGTGATGGTCTCTGTACTCTGCCTGAGGCCACCCCCACCAGTTGGGACACGCTCCAAGCCATCCTGTTGCAGCTTGCTCCCCTTGGGTGCTGCTGCCTGATGGGCTTGCTAGCACATTGGACTACCTTTCTCCCCTCAGTCACACCACTAGGCTAGCACATTGGACTACCTTTCTCCCCTCAGTCACACCACAACAGGGCATGGGTGTTTTCTGCCCTGCCAGCCTGCTCATATCATACTACATGCCACCTCCTAGCTATGACTGTCCCTAGGCCTCCTGTGGACCATCTGAGGGCCTTGAGAGTGCCTTGAAGCTGGCTGGTCCCAAGGAGCAAGGGCATAGTGTGCTGGGGCTGGAAGGTGGCCATGGGCCCTAAAAAACTCCCCCAGGCCCTTCCTCCTGCAGGCAGGATTCTCCTGCCTTCCTGGGCTCTGTGGGCCTCATTGGCTGGCACAGCTGCCAGGGCGGTTGAAGGGGGCGGGGCAGGTGTGGTTTACACTTCTGCTCTCAGGCGGCTGCTCCCCTTTGTTCCTGGCACTCCAGCCCGTGCTCTGTGTGTGCTGCTCAGGGCCAGACCTGCCTGAGGAGAGAGATGGAGGGAATGGGCTATGGGCCCCGTAGGGCCCTCCCGCTGACCTATGCACCCCCATTGTCTCACTTCCCCCAGCGGCCTGGCATGTCACCAGGGAGCCGGATGCCCATGGCTGGCTTACAGGTGGGACCCCCTGCTGGCTCTCCATTTGGCACAGCTGCTCCACTTCGACCCGGCATGCCACCCACCATGATGGACCCATTCCGAAAACGCCTACTTGTGCCCCAGGCCCAGCCTCCGATGCCCACCCAGCGCCGGGGGTAAGACCGTCCTGTTTCTCCCACCCTACGTAGCTAGCACAGCTCTAGTGGTAACAGAGGGTTTCCTTCTGTCCTAAGAGCTGTGATGACTGAGGAAGATTCCTAGTTCTCTTGGGAGAGGGTCCTGGGAACTGGAGGGGTAGATTGAGGGGAGGTACTTTGGACCATTGACCTCTTAAGTGGGTTAATCTGTCCTCCCCAGGTTAAAGAGGAGGAAGATGGCAGATAAGGTTCTACCTCAGCGAGTAAGTATGTTGGGAGGGGGCCTAGGAGGCCTGCCCAGTGGCTGGCTGGCTACGGGTGGTCAGTCTCCCCCAACCCTGGGATGGGAGAGGAAGGAGCCACAGCTACAGCTGAAACAAGCTGATAAATTCCTCTTCCCTTCCTCCAGATTCGGGAGCTTGTCCCAGAGTCTCAGGCATACATGGATCTCTTGGCTTTTGAGCGGAAGCTGGACCAGACCATCGCTCGCAAGCGGATGGAGATCCAAGAGGCCATCAAAAAGCCTCTGACGGTATGTACAGCACTGGCCACTCCCTGGCATTCCCAAGCTCCTCTGCCTCTTCCTGGCCTTGTTTTCTGGGGGCCAAGTGAGGGTCTGCATTGGGCTAGAGCAGGATTTTAACGCTGCAGGATGCAGCTCATTAGCGGAGCATGAACTCAATTTAATGTGGTTGGGCCAGCATGTTTTTAATGAAATATAAAATAGAAATTATAATAATATTTCAGAGTAGTACTTATAGTAATAAAGGTATTATTTCATCACATTTTGAGATATTTATATATATGTGTGTGGATGGTGGGTTATGATTTAAAATGAAAATCTTATGCATCGTGGACAGAAGTTTGAAAGGCAAGATTGGAGGGTAGTTTGTCTTCTCCCCCGTCCCTAGAGAAGCTTTCTTCTCTTTTTTTTTTTTAATAATAATATTGAACAGTCCCCTGAGTGGTGAAGGCTTTCCAGGAGATGAGTATATTTTGGGCCATGATGAGTGTTTGAGTTTCATTTAAAATATGAGCTAGAGGCTTCTGATTTGCCTGACAGCACCCAGTATGTACCTCTGTCACACCACTGATCCCGCTGTGTTGGAATTGTCAGTAGTGCATTTGTCTCCCCCATAAAATTGTGAGTTCCTTGAAGGCCAGGACTCGGATTTCCTGCTCCCCATTCCCAGTGCCTAACAAGGTGCCTGGCCCGTAGTCACCATGCAATATTGATGGTGAATGAGTTCAGATGGGAAGTTGGGGTGACACTGTTTTCCGACATGTTGGTCCACCTTTAGCTGGTTGTCTTGCTTTCTTTAGCAAAAACGAAAGCTGCGGATCTATATTTCCAATACGTTCAGTCCCAGCAAGGCAGAAGGTGATAATGCAGGAACCACAGGGACCCCCGGGGGAACCCCAGCAGGGGACAAGGTGGCTTCCTGGGAACTCCGAGTGGAGGGAAAACTGCTGGATGATGTGAGTTGGGGAAGGAGGTGTCTCAAGGGGAGGGGGCCTGTGTGGGTTTAAGACTGGGGCCAGACACTTGGCCACTTCCGGAGAAGGCCTGCTTGAGGGAGAGAGCACTGCTCGTGGTCATGCTCTGCCCAGCGCCAAGCCAATTCAAGGTTGAGGATTTGTGTGGTTATTACAACGGTTCTCCTGCAGGTGGCAGTAAAGGGTCTTGAGGAAAGGGTATCCCCTTCTAATTCAGTCCTTGATTGGCTAGCAGTGGGGCTGGCTGCATAGAGAGCCCTTCCCCTGCCTCCAGTCTCTCACTTTTCCTGGAGTCTAACTGCTTCCTTCAGGGCCCAACAGTCTTCAGTACCCTGAGCTTCAGGGTTGAAACAATGCTCCTCTTTTTTGGGCTTAGCATAGCTTAGGTTTGGGAGCTCAGCAGCAGCCCCATCTCACATCCGTTTCCATCCCCAGCCTAGCAAACAGAAGAGGAAGTTTTCTTCATTCTTTAAGAGCCTCGTCATAGAGCTGGACAAGGAACTGTATGGGCCTGACAACCACCTGGTGGAGGTGAGAGTGCACCTGGGGCATGGGGAGCACAGGCTGACATGCAGGGTGGGCAGAAAAATGGCCTTGGTCCCCTTGGAGGGCCAGGTGTGTATCTTCATGCCCACCCCCTTGGTGATGAGCTCTGCTCCCCTCCTCCCTGCCAGTGGCACCGGATGCCCACCACCCAGGAGACAGATGGCTTCCAGGTGAAACGGCCTGGAGACCTCAACGTCAAGTGCACCCTCCTGCTCATGCTAGATCATCAGGTGACAAATGTCCTGGGGCCACATCTGGGGCCACAGGGACTCAACTGTGAGAGAAGGGGAAGTTCCTATTGTAAACTCTTGTTCCTGCCCTACTCTTTTGCTTTGTTTTTTCACAAGCACCCCTCCTCTTACTCCCCTCTCTCCATCCCCAGCCTCCCCAGTACAAGTTGGACCCCCGATTGGCAAGGCTGCTGGGGGTGCACACACAGACGAGGGCCGCCATCATGCAGGCCCTGTGGCTTTATATCAAACACAACCAGCTGCAGGACGGGCACGAGCGCGAGTACATCAACTGCAACCGGTACTTCCGCCAGGTCAGCTGGGACGCCATCCCCCATCTGGTCTCACAGCCCCTGCCTTGCCCGCTGCTCCAGAGCCCCACTGGGCTAGTTCTTGGCCACATTCTTCACCCTGACCCTGGGATGGTCCACTTCTCCCTGTGCCCTCAAAGGTATCACTAAGCCTCTGGTACTCTCTCCAGATCTTCAGTTGTGGCAGACTCCGTTTCTCTGAGATTCCCATGAAGCTGGCTGGGTTGCTGCAGCATCCAGACCCCATTGTCATCAACCATGTCATTAGGTAAATGGAAAGAGGGGGATGGGAAGGCTCTTCCAAGAGCAGTTTACCTTTGGCTTGATCTAAAGCCAAAGAGCAACAGCATGTTTGGTTTTCTGCTCCCTGAGTGTGTGCAGGTTTGGCCCAGGTGGGTGGGATGAATACAGCTGTGTGCTCACCCCTCCCCTCCTCTGTGCTGCCTGCAGTGTGGACCCTAATGACCAGAAGAAGACAGCCTGTTATGACATTGATGTGGAGGTGGATGACCCACTCAAGGCCCAAATGAGCAATTTTCTGGCCTCTACCACCAATCAGCAGGAGATTGCCTCCCTTGATGTCAAGGTGGGCCCTCTGTTTCCCCAACCTCTTCTGGGGCCCAAGATGGGGGTGGGCAGGCTCTGTTAGGCATTTCTGTACATGTAGCACCTTGGGATGGGATCTCTGTCAAAGTCCTTTGGGGTTAGGCCTGGAAACAGACCCCCTGGGGGTGGGGGCCAGTGTGACACATGCACCCCCTTTCCCCAGATCCATGAGACCATTGAGTCCATCAACCAGCTGAAGACCCAGAGGGATTTCATGCTCAGCTTTAGCACTGACCCCCAGGACTTCATCCAGGAATGGCTCCGTTCCCAACGCCGAGACCTCAAGGTATGGCCCTCTTTCTTGAGGTTGATCCCATGTTAAGCTCTGAGTTATTTTTACTTCCATTTACTATTCTGGTTTCAGGGGCAGATTGGCTCAGGGGTGGGAATTATGCTACAGCTTTCCTCCTGGCTCTTTGCAGATCATCACTGATGTGATTGGGAATCCTGAGGAGGAGAGACGAGCTGCTTTCTACCACCAGCCCTGGGCCCAGGAAGCAGTGGGGAGGCACATCTTTGCCAAGGTGAGGCTCTGCCCTGCTTGCCCTCCTGTGGTTGTGAGCAGCAGAGGCCTGAGCCACTGCTCGCTCCTTTCTCCAGGTGCAGCAGCGAAGGCAGGAACTGGAACAGGTGCTGGGAATTCGCCTGACCTAACTGCTCAGGGATGCCTTCCTTTTTTCCCAGCCTTGGAGCCATCCCGTCCTCAGCCTGGAAGGGGACCACCCTCTGGGCGGCAGACATGTAGAATAAGGATGGGGTGAGGGGTGTCTCCTGTCACCCTCTGCTCCCCAGCTTTAGTTTCGTAAATGTAGTGATAGGATTCCTTGTTGCTTGGTCCCCAAAGCCTTATTACTTTACACATTGGCTTTAATTGGGTTCACAACAGATGCCTCCTCTGCCCCTGCAGGCAGGCCCAAGTAGGATTGCTGGTGACTGTGCTTTGACATAGTAACGGAGACGTTTCAGAACCAAAGGCCGCTGGCTTTGCTTGTTTACAGACTCCCTGTTGGGGCGAGTGTCAGAGCTGGCTCTGGGGAGCTGGGCAAGGAAGAGGGGCACAGCTCACCCTCTTCCTAGCCTTTCTAAACCAAAGTTCTTTGCCATTCCTACCAGCCCAGCCTTGCTGCTGGTTTTTTCCTTTCCTTTGGGTATTTGCACTATTTGGGGAGCAGGTTTTTCTATGCGGGAGCCACTTTTTTTGTACAGGGGTAAGTTGGGGTTTTTCAGGGAGCCCGGTTTGGTGCCTCCTTCCTTACTTTCTTTTCTCAATCTATGCAAGCGGCTCTGGCCGCCATCATCTCCTGGGATGCCAGAGGGCTGCCACCCCAGCTGTTGGGCCCAGGGTGGTAAAGCCTCCTTGAGGGAGGGGACTCCAGTTCTCTGGCATGGCCTGAGGTATGGGCGTACTTGGTGGAGGGCAGGGGAAGTAGGGAGGACTGTTGTTGCTCTTTGGAGATTGGTAAGGGGGAGGGCCCAGGGCTTGGCAAGTGCCACTTTTGGCAGGTTTGGAAATTTCCAAATAAATCCTTGTTTATTGATGATCTCCAGATCTGGTCATTGAATAGTGCGGCCACTCATTAACAGACTGAAATCCTAGAGGACTTGTCTTGCAGAGCTTTATTGGAGGGATCCACGTAAAGGATGTCCACCTTACTTCCATAGCTTCTTGATGGACATGTTTTTCTCACTATCTTTCTGCATGACCTGGAGAGAGAGAGCATTAAATTATAAACTGGGTGAACACATGCCCTATCCCCACTGCTCCAGAACCACCATCAGCAGACACTTCTGGAAAGATGGAGGCCTCTACCTTGGCTACTGCCATCTCAAAGTCCTCCTGGGTGACGTGGACTCGCCGTTCCCGCAGGGCATACATGCCAGCCTCAGTGCACACGCCCTGAGAAGGGAAAGGAAGACAGGCGCTATTGCTGTGCCTTTGAACCCAGAGCTTCCTGCTTCTGCCCCCTTTCCCTTGGGCACTCCAATTACCTTCACTTCAGCCCCTGATGCTCCTGGCATGAGCTCAGCAATTTTTCTTAGGTTGATCCCCCGAGTCAGGTTCATTTTCCGAGAATGGATCTTCAAAATGTCCAGCCGGGCCTAGCGATGGGAGAGGAAGGGTTTGAGCCCCAAAGCTTACCCCCATAGCCAGAGCCACTCCCAGCACTTGCCCATCACAAACCTCCTCATTGGGGGGTGGGAATTCAATTTTTCTGTCGATGCGCCCTGGGCGAAGCAGCGCCGAGTCCAGGATATCAATCCTATTAGTAGCCATGATAACCTGAGTGGAGAAAGGGGGTGGCATCAGCTAGGCCCTTCCTCAGGCTGCAGGTCACCCAGGCCCTTCCCTTGGCTCATCCTAAGACGTCACCTTACCTTGATATTCTTGGTGGCCTCAAAGCCATCCAGCTGGTTGAGCAGCTCCAGCATTGTGCGCTGCACTTCACTGTCCCCTCCAGAACCCCCCTCCAGTCGTGAGGAGCCAATGGAGTCAATCTCGTCCATGAAGATGATGGATGGAGCGTGTTCTCGTGCCATGACAAACAGCTCCCTCACCATTCTTGCCCCTGTGCAGAGGCCAAGCTGGCATTAAGGAGTTGATGAGCTCCCAACCCTTCACCTCCACCCCTTCACTTCCGCTTGGTTTTCATGTTTCTAGCCACATGATTTACCTTCCCCAATGAATTTCTGTACCAATTCAGAGCCAGAGACACGAATAAAGGTACAGTCTGTATGATGAGCCACAGCCCGAGCCAACAGTGTCTTCCCAGTGCCTGGGGGTCCATACAGCAGCACTCCCTAAAGAGAAACAGCAGGACTCAGGGCAGAAAGCCAGCCCCCTCATTACTGAAGGCTTGCTCTGTGTTAGATGCCATGTTAGATACTAGAGATACAAAAAATGAATGTTCCGGTCCCTTCTGGAGCTTGTATCTGAACTACCTCAGTGCCCTGGCAACATCTCTCCCCTAGCCCCTCTTTAGAGGGGAGGGTCAGCTCAAGTAGGCTGTAGTCTGTCTCAAACCCTGTGCTCAGTCTGGCCTGGGACAGGAGGTATACAGCACAGCCCTCCCACAGAGGCCCTGCTTCTCACCTTGGGTTGTGCAATGCCCAGCGCTTCAAAGAGCTCAGGATGCTTAACAGGCAGCTCGATCACTTCTTTGATCTCCTTGATCTGCTTATCCAGTCCACCAATCATCTCGTAAGTTGAATCTGGCACTTTCTCCACCATCATCAATGAAACCAGTGGGTCCACCTTATTGGGCAGGATCTTGTGCAGAGTGTAGCTGTCATTTCTTAGAGCCACTCGGCAGTTGGGTGTCACCTGGGCGAGGGGAGATGATTTCAGGAAGTGGTGTGGTGAGCGCTGACCCCAACCTCCCACCTCACCTGCTGCACTCACATCATTGATGTCAATGTTCTTGTCCACGTCCACAACAAACTTGCCCTCAGGATGTACCTAAAGACACAAGGGGTCGTGACTTTCCCTGACAGCCACCAAATCACCAACCTCACCCAGGAAGACCCATGAGTCCTCGAATAACATGACAGAACAGTGTCCTCCACACAAAGCTATGGAAATACAGTAGGCAATGGGCTGGTCCCTGGAGTCATGCTGCCTTTACCTTAACCAACACTTTCTTCTTATCCATGGCCCGGACGACTTCCCCCACATAGGAGCCCTGTTCCTGCAGCAGCTGTAGCTCCTCCCGCAACAGGCGAACTAGATGCGAAACAGACATAGTGGTCACCCAGCTTTTTTAGTATTCCTCTCCCCCGCGACTCAATTCGATATGCGTGAACTAAGCCCCATTTTAAAGTTTTGAAGGGAAGGCCACAAAAAGAAAGTAAAAATTCATGTCTTTAAGGAGATTACAGTGGGGCTCAAGAAAGAGATGTGCATGTGCACAACTGTATAACAGTGCAAAGTATCACCTTGGACTGGGAGAAAACAATAAGTACCAATGTGAAGACTCACTTCAGGGAGATCTGAACAGTCAGACCTCAGACAAACTGCCCACATGCAGCCTTCCCATCCTTCCACTCTCACCTTTTGCGTTAAGCTCATTCCTCTGTGCCTGCAGCCTCCGGAGATTTTGGCTCTTGTCATTCACAATTAGCTGTGGAGGACAACAAACAAAGAGCAGAAAATAGTCCAAGGTTAAGATCTTGGCCAAGACCCTCATAGGCTGCTATGAGCTGAGTGAGGGAAGAGCACAGGGCACCTGCATGTTGTTTCAGATTTTCCAATATGATCCTAATGACCCTTCCTGTCCTCCAAGAATCCCTCTGGAACCTAGGGCAGCCACCAAAAAAGGCTGCTGGTCAAACACTGGTCTAGGAATCACAAGCCCTAATGGAGAAAAGTTACAGCTGGCTCAGGCAGTCAATTTCTTGCAGGGCATTAACATGGGAGAGTGGGAAGATACTCCTAAGTTCTAGCCCTACTGCTGCCAATTAACAGCTAGGTAAAGCTCAAGAAAGCCATTTAAAAGGTCTAGCTCTGGGCCGGCCCCGTGGCTTAGCGGTTAGGTGTGCGCGCGCTCCACTGCTGGCGGCCCGGGTTCGGATCCCGGGCGCGCACCGACGCGCCGCTTCTCCAGCCATGCTGAGGCCGCGTCCCACATACAGCAACTGGAAGGATATGCAGCTATGAAACACAACTATCTACTGGGGCTTTGGGGGGAAATAAATAAATAAAATCTTAAAAGGTCTAGATCTGTTACCGAACTACAAGTAAATATAGCATCACCTACCCTGCCTCTCTTCAGGACTACCATGAGGAACAAATGAAATCACACATAAAAGCATTTCACAAATGATAAACCAAACATAACACCTACAATGTTAACTAGAGTTCAAAAACTTTCCTTGTGGCTTTCCTCCATCCAATTAGTTATTTTCCTTATCTCTATGGTCCCTGCTCCCTCTTTAGGCTAGAGCACCGGGTAGCCCAATTCCTTTTCATTCAGTCCCATGGAATCAGCATTGTCCAGACTCCTCAATTCCATCTTTCCTCACACTCTCACTCTGCCCCAACCCCTCTCTGATAAATCTCATCTCCGGAATCTGTCTTCCCTTTTATAAGGTACCCTCCCATTCAGGCTTCTTCCAAAAGGAATGGCCTTTGGCTAGCGGTACCTTTTCTGTTAAAATTTGACTCTTGAAGATGTGTAACAAACTGTGAATACTGATTACCTTCAAAGGGGTGGGATTTGAGGGGAACAAGAGACAAATTCAGATACTTTATATCGTTGGCTTGTTACTTCTTTCGCTGCGCCCCCAGTGGAATTAGATGGATTTGTAGAAATCTGCTCCTCAATCCTTCATCCCCCTTCTAGCTCCCTCTGGACCTCTGGAGTCTGTCCTCACCTGGAGTTCTTCAATCTTGGACAGATAATACTGGCGGAGTCCACTGCCTGCCTTCCCCTCTTCCAGCTCCATCTGAAGACACAGAGTAATTACTAAACAACAGGCTAAACATCCAAGGAATAAAGACACTTCCAGCTTGGACTCTGGAGGTTTAAGATCTGGGTTCTAATCCCTCACGCCATCTCTTCAGAACCCTTCATTTCCCCATGACTAAACTAAAAACAGAATGAGAATGCTGCCTACCTCATAAGACTTTCGGGAGAATCAAGAGAGCGGAAGCGCTTTGTACCGAATCAAGCGCCGTACAAACTCGAAGTACTATTACTACAAGCGGAGCCAGGCAGAGGGACGGGCGCTCCGTTTCCTGCGACTCGCGGCCGGGCCGGTTCCCACTCCCATCGCTCCTCTCACTCACTCCGCTTCCACCGTGTCTTCCACTCCCGTCCCTGCCCTGACCCGCTGGGGGCGGCGCTGACACAGCACATCCGGTCACAAGCAGGGCCCCGTCTGGACTGGTCCACCCACTCCCGACCCACCTGACCCTCCTGCCCAGGCCCGCTGCCCACCTCGTATCCAGCCTGCTCCGCATCCAGCCCTGGTCCCCGCCCGACCGCCGCCGCCGCCATACCTGCTCCGGTCCGTCAAGCGCCATCTTCTTTCCTCTGCGAAGACCGCCGGCAGCCAAACCGCCTTGGCGCGCAGGCGCAGAAGCAGGGGCTTGGAGACCGCAGACGCGGGAGAAGAGTTCCGGGTCAATGGGCGGAGTGTGCAGAGAGACGATAACAACTGGGGCCGTGATGGGAGGGGCTTCCCGCGGTCAGAGAATTGGAAGGTGATGAAAAGGGCACAGAACTCCTAAATGTTACTCCCTAGAAACTCTGTTTTAGTTCAGGTAATCTTCTCTCGTTTTCCCAATTTCCAGCTTTTAAGACCTGGGGAGAGAGTAGTTACAGAAAAAATTATATGGCCACACTCAAAATGGCGGAAAACTTGGAGCCAGGGACGCAAGCTGCGCAAGCAGAAGCGGAAGTACGTTTGCTGCCTACATGTGCGGCTCCAACGAGGTTGAAAACGGCGCTGGGTGGAGGTGAGTGGTGCAGGGTTGAGTGGTGTGGAGCAAGGCGCAGAGTATGGTTGCTACGGCAAGTGGGAAACGGAAAGCGGAATGTAGAGCTCC